CCTGGAAAAAACCCCGCCCCCCCCCCCCCCCCCTTCCTTTTGTAAGATCCTGAATTTTTTTAAAGGTTCTTTGGTATCCATAGTGACATAGAATGAACTGGTTAGTGGAATGAATTTTAATAAGGTTGTCAACCTTAAAACAAAATTAAAAAGAGTGATTTAAGTATTTAAATGACTGTCAAGAATTCTCTAACCATATTATCCGCTTCTCCCTTTTCCTGTTTCTTATAAAACCAGAATTGCTTTTGTTTATGGTAATAGGTGCTACGGTAGTTATGAAGTTCTATGTAGAGTTATATTTTGTCCATACCATTATTTTAATATTTATGTTAAGAGCTTGATTTGAATAGAATCTTTGTTTTTATTTTTATGTGGGAGTTCAGTGATGGGTGATGAGGAAGGGTCCAACATCTGAAGCTACAAAGATTAGTATTTATTGGGCTTTGCTGGGAAAGAGGAGGACCATATGGAATGGGGAAATATTTAAATTCAAGGAAAAAATGTGACTTATACTTAGATGGCCCAGCCCAGTTTAGGAGATCCACATCCTCCTTTGGGGGATGTGGGAAGAAGGGTTTGTTCTTGAAAGACATCCGAGGATCCAGAAACCTGCTGTTGTGGTGTTGTTGGTGTCTTATCATCCCATAATTTTGGTTCATACCTGCAGTCTTCAGTGAGTCATGAGATCCTCAAAGGGGTGGTGGCGGAAATCGTCCTTATTCCCATGGGGATCTGGGATTAACACAGAGAGGAAACATATATGCATTTTTAAAGATACATTGAAAAAAGCAGTGCTGGCCTTTTGGTGGTTAGCTAAGCAGTGGTGAGCCATAATCTGTAACCTCCAACTAAGCAAGAGGTCTTGTGGATAATGGTTAGTTCATTGCACTTGACTGGAGAAAGGGAGATTTGTGAAAGTAAATTATTTCTCTATTCTAGAGGAAATATAGATTTCAATAAGAGGGCAAAGTCCAGGTAGATGGAGAGAATGGTAATTCCAGTTTCAAGTTGGCAAAAATATGGATAGCCTGTCTTGTACACTCAGACCTTAAATACACTAATATTTTTTAAACATCTTCCTGTCTCCCTCCCCTCCCTCCACTTTTCCAGTTTTTCTCTTCTGGACCTGAGAGAGTCTTGTTCATGTCTGATACAGGTTGAAACAGTCTCTGTCCAAACTGAATTTAGGACTTAAACGCGTAGGAGTTGTTGAAGTGTTGCATTCCTCATAGGGCCAAATCCAGACTTGGATGGTAGCTGTTTCTAGATCTGTGCACAGCAGGCTTCTGCCTTTACTACTATGAGTTGTGGCCATACTGTTATGGTGGATTACAGGGATCTCTAGGTTTATGTGGCAGATCTTCTCCTTGTTCAATATTGTGTGATTTGACCAGGGCTTTGGCTGGTGGAGCAGCCACTGCAGTGCTGCTCAGTATGTCAGTGCTTTGCTTTTGCTGATGAATAATTGCATTTCCTGAATTGAACATGGCAGTATTAATTCTCTGTAATGGTAAAGGCATTGTGCTGCCAACACTTGGTACTGAAGGAACATGCTAGCATGATAGATTTTGTCCTTTGATTTGGGGCACATTCTTTCTGCCTCTTTGCAGTGCTGCATAGCGTTAGTGTGAAGCAGCTCAGAAGTCCAGCAATGGCTGTACCATGTGATGTTGCAGAACACCCATGTTTGTAACACAGACTTTGTTCAAGGGAGTTGTTGCCCTCCTTTCCTGCAGTCTGCACTTTACAGTGCAACTGGTTCTTTGTGTATGTCTGTTGGAAACCTTTCAGGAGACATTTAACTGCAGGCAAAATATAAGGCAGGTTCATATTTCGTTGTAATATTAAAAGCCTAGGATGCCTTGTAACTTGCCTGTAGTTTTCCATTGTATGTGCTTTGGGTCCTCCCCTTTTTCCTTCAGTCATCCCTCCCCCCCCCCATTGATTTTGAGCTGCTTTGATTGTCTTCAGCTGTGACTAAAGCGCAGCCAGTCAGTGTTTAGAACTGGTTCCAGCATCAATTCTCACTTTGAAAAACATGACATTTAAAACCAGCTTTTTGGTTTTCCTACGTATAGATCTTGATGCTTGCTTTAAAGATTGTTTTTGCTGCTTTCTTCTTGGAATAGCGAGATTTGTTTGGATGCCACATCCTCTTGACCTCAGAACACCTTTATTTGAGCGCTGTGGTAACAGACAGGCTGGATTAATATGACAGAATCAGTGTTAATAGCAGATATTAATACTCCCACCAGTTTCCAATAGTAAAAGAATGCCAGTGCTGTCTGCTCTAAGTCAGTCTAGAAAGCTGACGATTCTGTGAATCAACACTATACATGCCTCAGGTTTTATTTTAGGCATTAGATTGTAGATAGAGCCTAAGTTCCTTAATCGCTTAGGTGCTTTTTTGCGTTGTTCTGTCAGTTATGTCTTAGCATAATTTGTTTCTTGGCAGATGCAAAGACCTTTTCATAGTCTTTGAGTGAAGCATGCCTAAGTTATCTGTCCCTTCTAATCAAAATTTTAAAACTCGTGTGTGTATGTGTGTTTTTTTAAGTTCACATAACATATCATTTCTGTGGATATTTTTAAGCTGTTAAGGTACAGTCCGGATTTTAATTCCATTCTTAAGGTTGCCAGGGGAGAGGGAATAGTTGCGCACACAGTTCACCAAGGATAGGACCAGAATCAATGGATTCCAACAAGAGGAAAATAGATTAAAGTTAGACAAGAAGGAACCTCTTGACTATAATAAATGCATATTTGCAGTGAAGCATGCTACCTAGAGAGATTGTGAAATCTTTATTGGATGTCAAGACAGTTCTGGTCAGGCATTTATTGGAGTTAATACCTTTTAGATAGGCTAGGTTGTCTCTGGATAAGGAATGAACAGGATTAGATCTGATGTGTGTGTGTGGTTCAGTGATATAGTTGGGATTAGAAGGGCAAAAAAATGAATTAAGATTCACAATTATATTTCTGTAAGATACTTGAGATTTATTTCAGATGATGGTAATGCCAAAGCACATCTTGGAGATCGAGAAATTCACATTGGTTTACTAGAAATTAACAAATTCCATGATCAGAACCTTCTGGGATTTCCATGGTTCCTTTGCTTACTATCTTAGCTTCCCATATGACAAGTGATACTATTTCAGTGGACAGTGTGTTTAAAGTATGTGCTATTACTTGTGATGAGCACTTGCAGGTGAGTGTTACCATGTGCATACGTAGCAGGAATCCCTAATTGGCACCAGCTTCCTTTCATATGTTCAGCGTGTTCATGGTTTCATACAAAGAAATGAAATTTTTGTGAGAGCTGTCATGTGTGAAGTGGCTCAGAGTCACTCTCCTTAATTGCAAGCAACTTTCAACTCTTCAGTCATGATGATGCGTGAGATGAAATCGTGATTATAGAACAAACAATAGTTTACACACCCTCTTTTTCATACAAATGACATTTAGCTTTTCCAGAGGCTCTTTTCCCCTCACTTTGTATGGCTTCATTCTCTGAATACAATTTATACAAATTGAAGCTTACAGGGATTTTAAGAAAGAGTTGATGCAGGTCCTTAAAAACTATATATGAAACTGGGTCTAGGTGTGCTCAGCTCAGGAACTATGGGGGCTATGTCTGGAAGACTGTCATTCTAGTAAGTGTTGGTAAGCTTAAATTCTATGGTTGTTCCAATGTCCTTTTCATGTCAAAGTGCCTAATCCATTTTAGGTTCCTAAGCCACTGAGGTGTTTCTGAATATTTTATTCTACATGACCTCTGTTCTTTCCCATGTGCTACACTGGACAAACTAGTACTTTCTTTTTCTCTGCTTTCTGATGTGTAAAGCAACGGTTATTTGCCACAGGAGTCAAATAATGATGTCAAGCTCTAGAGATGGGTATGTCATTGTTTAAATATTGTTGTTTTCAGAGGAAAAAAAGAGCAAGGCACAGTCTGTGAATGGGGCTAAACACTGTTGTTGACGCCAGCACATACAACCATGCATGATGCCAAATGAATAAACACTGCATACTGGATTCTTTGGGTGGTCACATTTATTAACAACTGTCATTCTTTTGGTTGCATGTCTTAGAAGTTTATGAAGCAGTAACAATAGCCGTTTATGAGTATTCTTTGGGAAAGTGAATGAAAAGGGATGACCTTGGGGATTGCTCACACATTTTGTTGTGCCCTCTTCTTGCTTAACTGGCAGGCAACTCTTGCATTGCTATCAGTAAGATGTTGCTTTCTTTTCATCTCATGCTACACAACTTAGTGATTTTTTTTTCTATTTCCAGATGTGGTCTACGATAGCATAACTCTTTCTTCCATTAAAGATGAGATCATAACCCTTTCCCCCCAGCCTCTTAATTACTTGGGGTTCCTTTCTATGAATTCTCCATAGTCTCTGATCCTATATGTTGCTTCCCTGTACACATCTCTCTCTCCCACCTAGCGATAAATGCAACACAACCCCAGCCCAAGTATTAGCATATCCAATATTAGTGTGATCTTATACTGAACCTTTACTGTACAGCACACCTTCACTGGTGAGGATAGCATATATAGTAATTTTATCACACAGCAGCTATTGAATGGACTGCATGCATATGTTTCAATTTTTAATAGGCAAAATCCTTCAGAATCCATACCCAGTAATCATCTTCACTTATGTGCAAATCTTTATAGCTCTGTTTTGATGGTGTGACAGCCAGTTTTCACCAGCTGAGAATTCTTCATAGACATAAATAAACCACAGGCATTGTTGAGTAATGAAGAATTATGAATGGAAATCTCTGGCCCAGGTGGAGTATTACATTGTGTGGCCAGTTCCATTCATTAATTTTTATTACACTGCAACAGCTGTTTGAGTGTGGAATCTAATGGCTCCTTGCTCTGTATAGTATGATTATAATATTTATAAAGAACATGCATGCTTTACAATCCAAACTTCTGTGTTTTTATACCCCCTAGAGCTCTATGATTCCTTAAACTATGAACCAGTCATGAAAGATGTGGTGGATTTTTTTTTCTTTTTGCAAGAAGGATTGCATTTCCTAATTAATATTTCATCTGGGCCTGCACTGGGAGTGTTTAGCCAGATCTAAGCAGTAACATATGTTCTGGTGGCTTATGCTGTCTATAGGGGAATACAGGCAATCAGACTAGCAATCGCTCACCTTCACATTAGAGGAAACAACTTCTGCCAAGATAGGTAAATGTGTCTCTAGATGATGTCAGCTTTATATACCCCAGTGCTTTCTCATTTCATCACTTTGATTTATTGTATGGAATAATTTCCATTGTTTTCCTTGTAGGGAGGATCTTTTGTGTTCGTGATTGCATTTAATTTTCAGTTTTATCAAGGCATGCAAAGTTGTCACTGGTACACACAGGCCTTTGGGAAATAAAATTGACTACATTTCTTAAACTGCTTAGCAGCCCAGCATGCACGATGGAATCCTGTATCCATTAGCTCTTCCATGCTTACTTCATTGCAGGAGGGCAGTTCCATGTGTAATGCTGTGCATGCATGGTGCTTCCTTCCCCATTGAATGGAAGCTTGTATGTGCAGGAGTTTTGCATGTACATCCACAAGGAGATGAATGAATATTTATGTGCGTTACTGGCCAGCTCCATGATGTTAGTGATTCTCCTATTCGGTTTAGTCCACCAGCCATCATAGATCAAAAGTAATGGATGGGTCTTTCATATTCTCTGGTATCATCTCAAGCACAATAAAT